TATGTTTTTAACTCCAAAATGAGCGTAAAACTAGAGTATTTAGTACTCCTGTTAGGGTAAATATTACTCCATTTTTGGTACATTTTTGACTCCAAGATGAGAGTAAAATTTTAAAACTAGAGTATTTAGTACTCCTGTTAGGATAAATATTACTCCACTTTTGGTATATTTTTGACTCCAAAATGAGAGTAAAATTTTAAACTAGAGTATCTAGTACTCCTGTTAGGGTAAATATTACTCCAGTTTTGGTATGTTTTTGACTCCAAAATAAGAGTAAAATTTTAAACTAGAGTATTTAGTACTCCTGTTAGGGTAAATATTACTCCACTTTTGGTATATTTTTGACTCCAAAATGAGAGTAAAATTTTAAACTAGAGTATTTAGTACTCCTGTTAGGGTAAATATTACTCCACTTTTGGTATATTTTTTACTCCAAAATGAGAGTAAAATTTTAAACTAGAGTATTTAGTACTCCTGTTAGGGTAAATATTACTCCACTTTTGGTATATTTTTGACTCCAAAATGAGAGTAAAATTTTAAACTAGAGTATCTAGTACTCTTGTTAGGGTAAATATTACTCCACTTTTGGTATGTTTTTGACTCCAAAATGAGAGTAAAATTTTAAACTAGAGGATTTAGTACTCCTGTTAGGGTAATTATTACTCCACTTTTGGTATAGTTTTGACTCCAAAATGCGAGTAAAATTTTAAACTGGAGTATTTATTACTCCTGTGGGGGTAAATATTACTCCACTTTTGGTATATTTTTTACTCCAAAATGAGAGTAAAATTTTAAATTAGAGTATTTATTACTCCTGTTGGAGTAAATATTACTCCATTAGTGAGGTAGAAAGTACTCTAAAAGTGGAGTTAAAATGATGGAGTAAAAAATACTCCCAAAACAGAGTCAACTGGTACCTTTCTACTCCTTCAAATTAACAGTGTACGTATACTCTTGTATAGTGTCGTATAGTCTTGTATAACGCCGTATAGTGTCGTATAGCCTTATTTAGTGTTGTATAGACTTGTATCACATTGTATAGTGTTGTATAGCCTTGTATAGTGTCGTAAGTTCATTAATAAGTTCACCTGCTAACAAGATATGTAGCTTTTGACAGTTCTTTGTAAAAAAACATTATACAGACAGACAGGATATATAATAGTGTTATGCGCTTCCATTATTAATTGTGTTATGGTATATATAATAGCCTGCGTAGCAGGCGCTATTTAGGGGGGAGGGCGAGGATGAGAGAAGCTAGGAGAGGAATGCGAAAGCGAGAGAAAGAGAGCGAGAAAAAATGGGAGGGGCGAGAAAGAAATAGCGCCATCAGAAAAGCCATATGTTTTCTCATATCTTCCCAAGTCCCGGCCATTAAAAAACAGCCAATCAGTGATTAGACGCAACTAATGGTTTTCCCAGTGACAGATCCGGTTTCACAACACTATGCATAATCATAGTTAATGCGCGTGTATACTAAGTGTATTTCTGTGTTAACGCCAAAATTTTTTGTAAAAAACCAGGTAGAAAAGCGAAATAGGCAAGCGCTAATGATACATGCAGGTTCTGCAACAGCAATCTAAAAGCAATATGTGAAAGTGAGCCTTCCTTTGAAAATTTGTTTAAGCCGTCAGACAGGCAAGACAGTCTGAATTTGATTTTAGCGAACGCGTACGAGTCCATTGGCTTTGAGTTGAATCGAAGCGAAACTTTATCGGATCGAGTGTGTAAACCTTGTAAGGAAAATAAGGAACGCTGCTGAACTATATACTTGTAAAGGAAGAACGATAATTAAAGAACAAAACGATCCAGTTTCAGACGATCTGAGCGAGAGAAGCAAACGGCAGTTGCCAAGAAATCACACAACGAAAGCGGAAAGTGTAAAAAAAGAAATTAAATGTGTGTGTCAAATCTAGTACTAGAAAGTCTTTTCCTCGAAACAGAAGAACGAGATTCCCCATCGCAGGACAAGTTGTTAACAACAACGACAGCAACTCGAAGCAACTTTCTCGATCAATTTATAGCGAATAGGCTAAGTTGAAAGTGATTATAGCGTATAGACTATAGTGATTATAGTAATTATAGTGATTTAAGCATTCACGGACGAGAAACATCGCCGTTCCATATCTTTTGGCTGGTCTTTAATATAAATGCTATTCAATGGGGATATTACAATAATAGCTGCTTTCCCTGACGTTTGATAATCACGCGCTCGTACGAAAGCTTGGTAAATCAAACTTTTGCCATAACCTGTCGGTAATACAGCAAAAACATCTTTTCCTTTTAAAGGGTCTCGAACTGCTTTATCTTGCTCCTCTTTCAGTTGAATACAGTGGTCAGTCGCCAACTGAATATCGCTAATCACTTTAGAAAGAACTTCGTCAATACCCCCTTCTACTAAGGCCGCTATTTTGAACTCATCTAAAACCACAGGAACCATAGGGAATATAGTTGGGAAACCCCTGATGACTGTTTAGCCAATCAGAATTTCGCGTCCGCTCACGGACGAGAAATATGAGAAAACATATGGCTTTCCTGCAGGCGATATTTCTTTTTCGTCCCTCCCATTTTTCCTCGCTCTCTTTCTCTCGCCTTCGCATTCCTCCCCTTGCTTCTCCCACCCTCGCCCTCCCCCCTAAATAGCGCTTGCTACGCAGGCTATATATATAACAGTGTTGTTATGGTATACATAATAATGTTATGTTTCCATTGTTAATAGTATTATTTATAACAGTCCTTGGCTCTTGTGAATTATATTTATAGGTTATTAATAGTGTTATTAACTGTGAGTCATTCAAGGTTATTACTCTAGAAGTGATCACACTAGACTTTGTGTCTAAGAATATTGAAAAATCCGCAAATTAACCTTAGTGACAATCGCATAACAGCTAAATGTGTGGAGGTATCCCTGCGGGCCACATTATACATATATTGTCGGAGAAATAAGTCGTGGAATGACCCATAATTGCTTCTATCAGCTACTACTGTTTGGAGTGCTCAGAAAATGTACCTGTTTCATTACAGAGAACTGTTTCCTTAATTTTAAATAATTAGAATATTATTGTAACAAATATGCATGCGATTGTTACAATAAAATACAATTTTCATTGTTTAAAAATTATAATAGTGTTATGTTTCCATTATAGTGTTATTTAGTTTTGAATTATCCACGGATTATAAACAGATTTTCTACAACCTAACCCAAAGTTTTGGCCGCGAGGCAGCACATCCTTGCGTTAGTAACTTCTAGCATATTTCTACCGTGACACTGCCTCCTTGTCTATCAGATATTTAAGAAAGGAGCCCAAATCTTAAAAGCCTTTTGGTTTCTTATTGGGCTACCTTGCTACTTATTATTATTCCTAATTTTGAAATACTTGTATATGTGTGTAATGTAGTGAATAAATTGATTTGATTTGATTTGATTTGATCTACTTTGATAGCAAAAGCAAAGATTGCGAGTTTTGTTTTCTTGTTTCAGTACGTAGATTCAGTTTTATTTTATATATACTGTCCGAATTTTTGTTGTTTGACTTTTCACTTCATTCAAAACAAAATAAATCAATTGACTTGCGATAGTGACAAACTTAAATGGCTTGGAGGTTTTAAATTACTAGAACGATTCGTCGAAGATATATTAAACATTAAGGGAAAGTGGAAAGTCCCTCGCGGAGGTTGTAAAGAATTAAAGACAAACGATATCACTGTACGGTGGTATGAGAATGAAAGATTGCTGTTGGAAGGTCCTATGATGAAGGAATATGAAGAGATTTTGCAAAAGATAGCGACGATAAAACCAAATAGTGAATATAGTTTGGGCGTAAACAATCTTGCCGACTTCACGCCTCCGCAAAAGCCTTCGATTCAGAATTTTAATGATTTTTTTATAAACACGAACTTGACGAATGTAGCATTGGTAGAATTGGATGGCTGTCACGGTGATTCCACAATCAGCTTATTTGAGAATGATGTGACAAATTTAACTGAGGAATGCCGAGGAGATGATCCGCCTTCGCTAGAAAGTGAGCTGCTTCAAGATGTTACAAATCGCTTGGATGCACTATCAGACTATAGGGAAGTAAACACCGTTGACGACAAACCAGAGCCTATTAATTCAGCCGAGCAAGCATTGAACACGTTATTTACCTTGAACGCAATAAACCTATTAGAGAAAAAGTTGCTGAAAAAAGGATCGCTAATTTGTTGCTTGCCATGTCGGATCTCAACGTCAAAGTAAAGGACTGGGAGAACGAAAAACTCAGCTTGGTGGCAGCAATAAAAATTATTCAAGCGAACAACCAACACGCGATGAATTCCGAGGGGATTTGGCAAACTCAGAAGGAAAACTAAACAAGTAACCGGCAACATCCATCCTGAAAGACGAGAAATAGAAACAAAAGACAAGTACACAGTACTAAGTGATACCGACGGAGAAAGCGAAGACAACGACTCAAGTAACGCTCTCCAAACCACCACTGTCGTAGACCCATTAGCTAAACCTAGTGGAAAATCACTAAAACGCGTACGGATAAACATCGATCACCCAGCCGAAAATCGAGCGAAGTTAAATCACATCCCAGTAATACCGATACCAGAAATACTGTTTATCCCGAGAATACAAATCATATCAGGAATACTGAACATCCTAGAAATTTCAAACACGACCATGAAAGTACAAAGACGCCAGCACGTTCTAAATCTAAAGTTATCATTTTAGGCGATGCTATGATAAAACACTTAAATCAAAGACAACTTCAAAATGGTGTCAATCATAAAATTGCCATAAAAACTTTTCCTGGTGCTGGAATAGATGATATGGTTCATTACGTCAAACCCACACTGTCAACGCGTCCAGATGAAATAATACTACACATCAGTGCTAACGACCTTAAAAATAAGTCTCCAGACATGTTGGTCCAATCCGTTGTAAACCTCGGAAATGCTATTAAGAGAGAAAATAACGAAACCAAATTAACACTTTCATCAATTATTGGCAGGAACGAAGACGCATTCCTTGCTGAATATGTAAAACAATATAATGAACTATTAGAAGAATTGTGTCTATCCAACAATTGGGATCTCATAGATAACAAAAACATTGACTATTTTCATTTAAACATTTATGGTTTACATTTGAATAGAAAAGGCACTGGGGCTCTTGCCAAAAACATTAAAAACTTTTTAAATAAAAATGGACCAATAGAACCAGAATATAGCTCCATAGAAAATGTTGTGACCTCCAAAAATCCGTTATCACATATGGGTGAATTCGCGTATCCAAAGCTTAAAGGTTTTAAAATTTGGCAAATATTACTAGCTTAGTTAAACATGTCGAGGAACTTCGAATATTTATTCATGAACAATCCATTGACATTTTATGCATTAATGAGACACGACTGGACAATTCCATTTCTAGTGCAGAGGTTGAAATTTGCGGTTATGAAATAGTAAGTAGAGATCGAAATAGAAATGGAGAAGGCGCTGCAATTTACTTGCGCATCGACATTCCATACGTTGAACGAAGTGATTTAATTCCTGAAAACGTTGAAGCATTGTGTCTTGAGATCAGAAAACCAAAAAGTAAACCAGTGTTAGTTGCTATCTGGTACGGTCCACCTTGAATGCTTTGAAAAATTTTTGAAAAAACTTGACGATGAAAATAAGGAAATATTTCTAACCAGTGACTTCAACTGCGATCTGTTAAAACAGGATCATGTCAATCCTAACATTAAAAAGATGAAAGACTTAATAGACATTTATCAACTTCAACAACATATTGATAAACCAATTAGAACAACCAAATATTCCCAAACTCTTATTAATCTCATACTCACTAAAATTGAAGACAATAAAACAATTGATTCTGGAGTAATTGAACTGGGGATAAGTGATCATAGCCTGGTTTATACATCCAGGAAAATAAGTAACCCTAACGGAAAACCTAAGCTAATAGAGACAAGACAATTCAGGCACTTCAATCCGACTGATTTCCAAAACAATCTTAGAGAAGCATTTAGTAATTTCAATCATTATACAGATTCCAAATTAGCATGGCATCAATGGAAAGGGATATTCCTTCAAATCGCTGATAAACATGCACCCTGCGATTAAGAAAAGTAAAGAGCGAATATACCCCATGACTAACTAACGAAATTAAAAACATGAGTTATCACAGGGACTTTTTAAAAAAGAAAGCAGTAAGTCTTAATTCGCCAGCGTACCACGAAGCATATGAAAAATGCAGAAATGAAGTAAACAGTCGTATCAAAGTCGCTAAAACAAATTACTACAAAACGAGTTTGGAGAATAGTACTAATAGCAAAGATAGCTGGAAAATTATAAATAAATTACTGAATAAGAAATCGAAGACTACCTCTATAAATGAACTTACAATTAACAACAACAACAACAACAACAAGATAACAGATGACAAAAACATTGCAAACGAATTTAATAACTTTTTCTGTAAGATAGGGTCACAACTTGCAGAAAATATACCACAATCAGATTTCGACCCCTTACATTATGTGATTCCTGGAGAAAATGCTTTCGAATTTAAGAATATTACGAGGGCCGTTGTGAATTTAAGAATATTACGAGGGCTTGGTGAGCGTGTTAAAGGCAGAGTGCGCCCAAATTCGCGCATGCGCATTGCGTTCGAAAACTTGAAAAACTTAATGTTGTAAATCAAGTTTTAAAAAGCAAAATGGCGT